GGCGTCGGGGGCGGGGGCGGGGGCGGGGGCGGGGGCGCGGTAGTAGTAGTAGCAGGAGGAGTAGTAGTAGTAGTGGTGGTGGTGGTGGTGGTGGTGGTGGTGGTGGTGGTGGTGGTGGTGGTGGTGGTAGTAGTACCAGCAGCAGTGGTAGTGGCTGCTGCTTCGTAAAGAAGAGAAGTTTGATTCCTAAAGTTGCCCCCCGAAGCTTCCCAGCCGTGTCCAGGAAAGGGACAGATACGGTGGATACTAAGATCCGGCATGACCCTAAGTACCTTATACCTTGGGAGCTAGGGTACAATAGTATATTAATTAAGGTCATGCAGGCTTTCTAGTAACAACAGTGTGAGTTTTGGTGCTGTCAGTTCTGGGATTCCCCTGCCTCAGGCGTTCACTTTCCCTGCATCTTTTGGACATAAGAAGCAAAATGAGCCATAGTCTAAACTCCCTAACTGGGGGTCAAATAGGGGACTACTAAGGGGGATACTAGGAGTTTAGATTATAGCTCAAATGCTGCCAGTTAATGATTGCATCGCCCAAACAAACAGTACGACGACTGCATCCCATGAAGGCCCCTTGCCAGAGGAGTAGTATTTTATTTCGGGGTATTATGGTACCCAATATAGAGTAGGATTATTTCCTCCTTTTGGGGTATAGTATTTCATATAAGGAATATAATCTTACTAGACTCAATCACCAAAAAAACGCTACTCAGATGAGTTTGGTCTTTATACCGGGGTCCATTTTTCAGGCTTGGAACCCTAAACCCTAAACCCTCGAACCCCCCTTCAACAACTGTTCTCCTATGACAAAGGCAGAAGCCGGCTATCGGACATGACAGAGCGAAAAAGCTGCAAGTTCTGTGCACATCCTGGTAGTTTCCATTTTCTTTTCCATTATCCCTATATGATCTCAATATGTACCCTATAATCCCTATATAATCCTATATATATAACCGTATATACTCCTTTAAAGGGACCTAGGGTTTCCATGTTAGGGGACGGGAGCAGTCGGTCACCAGAATTCCCGAGAATCGCAACAGGAGAAGGGCTCTGGTGCAGTCCCAGCTGTCGTTTTGAGCTTATGATTGCACACCATCGCTCGGAAGTCTGTCGGCGTAACTATAGGGGTTCCGCAACATCTTCCGATGGATCAAGGTTTGCCCCGCCAGAATACTCCAGAACATGGCCAATGCTGAACTAAGATTACACTGATTCCGGGGAAAAGTTTCAATAATTACTGGTCATAGTTGTTGTCTGCAATGAACGCCTGTGAAAAGAAGAGCGTTGTGGGGCCGAAGGCTCGGGCATTTGGTGTCCTCTCGTGTACCCGCAAGACCTGAGAATGGTTGCTATATCGTAGCAAGTAACCGCAAGAAAGACCAGTCATGTTTCATTTGCTGATAAGCCACCCAAAATAAGACCACGGCTATTCCCATTTTACTATGGCATACATTTCCCTGAAGGTCCAAAGACCCAAATAATGGGGTTTTAGGGCCCAAATACCAGTAATATTTTAGTAAAAACCCTATTATTTGGGTCCTTGGACCCTTAGGGCTTGGGAATGTTTAGTACATATCACCGACCTCCCATCTCCACGCCTCTACAGAACAGACTGGGTAGGCTGTGCGTGCCCGCTTTTTCGGCCCAAAGTCCGAAGCTATTAGGCAGGCACTAACTCATACAATAGCTTACCTTTGGTTAGCGGGGAATGAAGGAATGGAAAAGAAAATGGAAGCTACTATAATGGGCTATAGGGACTACTATAAGGATCCATTCCTTCTTTCCGAGCTAACCAAATCGACCCCTGTGGAACCTGGAACCCCAGAATTTTCACAGAAGGTACAGTAACCAGGGTCATAGACCACTCCTTTCAGCTCTGGTAAGTTGACTAGGAATAGAAGCTGCTCAAAGCTTAATGCAGGATACAGCTGCATACTCGTCGCCGGTCACCCAAGCTAAGCTGTGGGATCTCTCACTGCAAAAAATGAGCGTCTCAATTTCGTCAATCCGTTTACGACCAAACGGACGGGGGGTTACGGTAGTCTCGCGCGAGATGTCCGTGCAACATGCATCGCCGCCTCGCCTGCACTCCAGGGGATAGAAACTCCGAACCGTATCGAATATTAGGGGGGGGAGTTTAACATTAGGGGGGGTATTTATCGTGGGACCGGAATATTGGGGGGATGGGCATGTAATAGGATCCTATTGAAACCTCAATTAAAGTTGAATAGAAAATTCATTAAATCAAAGAACAATCCGATTAAATCTAATCAAGGTCGTAATAGCATCAATTCAAGCAGGCTTAAAAAGCGATTTCAAGCTAATCGAAGCCTCACAAACCAATCTAAAGCTAATTTAACAACGTAATCAAACCTGCAAAACCAATAGAAATCTAGGTAAAGAAACGGATTGAGAGTGCATTAAACCAACTGAAATCACATTCCGATGTTGAGTAATTTCCCTCATAAAAACCGTTCAGAAACAACCGAAATCTAGCAAATCCAAGGAGATCCCCAATCTCTAAGAGTCATGCTAGGGACCCTTCTAATTCGGTGTCGTAACTAACTTTAGTTTTAGCCCTTCTAGAGGTAGTCTTGGGGGCAGGTTTCAGAATCTGGAATTCTGGGTTTTGTGTTAGGGCGAGTAACATGAGGAAGCGATTATGACTTTCACGTTGAAATTTGTACTTGTTCTTATGATTATGGCGAGAACGCTTATATGTTTCTGAGTAATCGTAGAACAGCACAACCTTAAGATCATGCCCCCTACCAGGTGACATTCAGGCGGCCCATATGCGTATTGGGGTGTCTGGGCCGCCCTTGGGTGGCCTTGTAAGAAGGATTACAGTGCCTTGGGATTGATTGTTGGTGCCCCCTGTTTTTGGAAGCCCACCTATCAAATCTGCAGAAGCCAACTTGTTCTCTGCAAATCTCCATGAGATTTGGGCTGCGTACCATTCAAACATGCGGAAACCTAATTACTGCAATTAAGACAAGTATCCCCGTGCA